GGAGGCTACAGTTCACGGAATCAGGCCGAGGCTAATCTCCACCAATAATGAAGTCTCTAGATCATATTCTCCGCCGATGATAAGTCCATTAAGCCCCGATTTGGGCCAATTTATTTTTGGATGGCATTTTTGTAATTTATGTGGCGACGAAAGGTCATTTTCTTTGAATTTTGAAGGCTACAGGTCACGGATTCAGCATGAGGCTATTCATCAACGATGATTAATTCCATTAAGAACCAATTTGGGCGGATTTATTCTGGATCAATTTTTGGCAGATTCGAAAAGGGTACTATCATAGATTTAGAGCGATTTTTCCGAAATGTCATTTTCTTTCGATTTTGGAGGCTACAGATAACGGAATCAGGCCGAGGCTATTCTTCACCTATAATGAATTCTAAAGATCCTATTCTCCACAGATGATAAGTCCATTAAGCACCGATTTGGGCCAATTTATTTTCACATGGCATTTTCGTAATTTATGGGGCGACAAGAGGCCATTTTCTTTGATTTTGAAGGCTACATATCACGGATTCGGCATGAGGCTATTCTTCAACGATGATTTAGCTCATTAAGACACGATTTTGGCGGATTTATTCCGGGTCAATTTTTGGCAGATTTCAAAGGGGTACCATCACAGATTTCGGGCGATTTTTCCGAAATGCCATTTTCTTTCGATTCTGGAGGCTACAGATCACGGAATCAGGCCGAGGCTATTCTCCACCAATAATGAAGTCTCTAGATCCTATTCACCACAGATGATAAATCCATTAAGCACCGATTTGGGCCAATTTATTTTCAGATGGCATTTTCGTAATTTATGGTGCGACGAAAGGCCATTTTCTTTGGATTTTGAAGGCTCCATGTCACGGATTCGGCCTGAGGCTATTCTTCAACGATGATTAAGTCCATTAAGCACCGATTTTGGCGGATTTATTCCTGGTCAATTTTTGGCAAATTCCAAAGGGTTACCATCACAGATTTTGGACGATTTTTCCGAATTGCCATTTTCTTTCGATTCTGGAGGATACAGATCACGGAATGAGTCCGAGGCTATTTCCACCAATAATGAAGTCTATTGATCCTATTCTCCACGGATGATAAGTCCATTAAGCACCGATTTGGGCCAATTTATTTTCTTATGGCATTTTCGTAATTTATGTGGCGACGAAAGACCTTTTTTTATTATGAAGGCTATAGGTCATGGATTCGACATGAGGGTATTCTTCAACGATGATTAAGTCCATTAAGCACTGATTTTGACGGATTTATTCCGGGTCAATTTTTGGCAAATTCCACAGGGGTACCATCATAGATTTCGGGCGATTTTTCTGAAATGCCATTTTCTTTCGATTCTGGAGGTTATAGATCACTGAATCAGTTCGAGGCTATTCTCCACTGATAATGAAGTCTCTAGATCATATTCTCCACGGATGATAAGTCCATTAAGCACAGATTTGGGTCAATTAATTTTCTGATGACATTTTCGTAATTTATGGGGCGACGAAATGCCATATTCTCCACGGCCTGAGGCTATTCTTTAACGATGATTAAGTCCATTAAGCACTGATTTGGGCGGATTTATTCTGGGGCAATTTTTGGAAGATTCCAAAGGGGTACCATCACAAATTTCGGGCGATTTTTCCGAAATGCCATTTTCTTTCGATTCTGGAAGTTACAGATCACGGAATCACGCCGAGGCTATTCTCCATCGATAATGAAGTCTATTGATCCTATTCTCCACAGATGATAAGTCCATTAATCACCGATTTGGGCAATTTATTTTCGTATGGCATTTTCGTAGTTTATGGGGCGACGAAAGGCCTTTTTTTTATTTTGAAGACTACATGTCACGGATTTGGCATGAGGTTATTCTTCAACGATGATTAAGTCCATTAAGCACCGATTTGGGCGGATTTATTCTGGGTCAATTTTTGGCATATTCCAAAGGGGTACCATCACAGATTTTGGGGGATTTTTCTGAAATGCCATTTTCTTTCGATTCTGGAAGTTACAGATCACGGAATCAGGCCGAACTATTCTCCACCGATAATGAAGTCTATTGATCCTATTCTCCACTGATGATAAGTCCATTAAGCACCGATTTGGGCCAATTTATTTTTAGATGGCATTTTCGTAATTTAAGGGGCGACGAAAGTCCATTGTCTTTAGATTTTGAAGGCTACAGGTCACGGATTCGCCCTAAGGCTATTCTTCAACGATGATTAAGTCCATTAAGCACCGGTTTGGGCGAATTTATTCCGGGTCAATTTTTGGCAGATTCCAAAGGGGTACCATTACTGATTTCGGGCTATTTTCTGAAATACTATTTTCTTTCGATTCTGGAGGCTACAGATCACTTATGTGTTTTCATATTCGGAAATAATTGTAGAATATACTTGGTGTCTACACTGCTCAAAAAATTGTCTCTCTATATCTTACTAGACAATTATTCACGAACTTATCGCATATTTGTTCTTAAACTTGTTATTGATGCAACCCAAAGCCGAAAAGACTCTTTCAACACTTGTCTTACAACCATAAAATCAATACAGATAATGTGTAGCTTGAAATTAGCTTAATTGTTAGGTTTTGAAAATAATATCCTTACTCTATCAAAATGGCTCCGGAAAAAATCCTCTCAAATCGGTGTTTAATAGACTTAATCCTCAGTGAATAATAGCCTTATGTCGAATATGTGATATGTACCTTTCAAAATCCAAGGTGAAGAATAGTAATTCAAAAATATTGATCAAAATCTATGATGGATATCCTTGAGAATCGGTTAAGAATAGCCTTAACAAAATGCACAAAATCTATGAATGATAGCCTTCAAAATGGCTCCGGATAGTCTTCAACATGTCGAATAATAGCCTTCAAAAATTTGGTCAAATTCTATGATGGATAGCCTTCAAAATAGGTGAGGAATAACCTTCAAGAATCAGCCAAAATCTTTGATGGATAGCCTTCAAAATCGGTGAAGGATAGCAATCCGAAAAGTTGAGTAAAATCTGTGATTAATATCATTGAGAATCGATGAAGAATAGCCTTAACAAAATCGCACAAAATCTGTGAATGATATCTTTCAAAATCGACAATGGATAGTCTTCAAAATCATATTGATATTCTTCAAATCAGTGAATAATAGCCTTCAAAAAATCGGTCCAAATTTGTGTTGGATAGTTTTTAAAATATTTTGAAGAATAGCCTTAAAAAAATTGGCCAAAATTTGTAATGTATGACCTTCAAAATCAATGAAAAATAGCCTTAAAAAATCATAGAAATTTTTGAAAAATCGATGAAAATATAATAATAAAAAATAGCCCAAAATATGTTATGGATAGCCTTGAAAACACGATCAAAATCTATCATGGATAGTTTCCAACATCAGTGGAGAATTCAGAATAGCCTTCAAAAAAGTTGGCCAAACATCTGTGTTGGATAAATTATAATGAGTTTCTTGTTGTAGGTGTTACTAGCATTTATGACCAACCGATGAACCAACACAAAGTAGCAATGTAGGATGACAATTTCGACCTGACCCGTTTTACCCGATTTGTTTGGCCTTTTTTGGGTGGGGCCGACTAAGTACTCTCATTGACCGGACTTGCCCTGACCTACCCCATTCTCGACCCGGTCTTGCCTAAATTACATGCAATCTTAGTCAAATTACTTAGGAATTTTCTTTTGTTATATCATAATTTAGCTATAATAAAGTTGTAAATTAGTGAAAACATTAATTTCTCTAATAATTTAACCAGTGGCGGATCCAGGGGGTGGCCACCCTAGGCCCCGGCCCAGCCCTCCTCTGGATCCATAATTAGTATAGGCCTTATTAATTTTTCGATTTTAGATATTCGGATCTTTGTTATTTTAAAATAAGATTGGGTATAATTAGAAAAATGATTAAGATGAACATATTCAAAATCACTACTCTAACATTTAACTTATAAATTCTAACCCCAAAGTTTATTCGTCTAAAAAAATAATGGAACCTAAAAATTCAAAAAGTATAAAACGTAAAAGACTAAAACATATATGAGGTTTGTTACCTTGAAAATTTACTAGAGCAGCTGGTGGATACAGGGATGGAAACACAATGCAAATTTATTAGTAGATTGATTTGTCTAGTGTTGATGTTGCTCATTTCAACAGCTAATACGAAGAGAACCTTTTCAACAATGAAACATGTGAAAATTGATTTGCGCAACAAAATGAGCAATTAATTTCTAGTCGATTGCTCAAGTATTTTATTTGAAACAGTGTATAATATTGGTATGGATGTGGACTCCATTATTAATGCGTTCGCTAAATTAAAATACCGTCGTGTACAATTTATATTGTAAAAAAATTATAATCATTATATTTTTTACTATTCTAATTTTCTAATAAAATGCGGCCCAGTGCACTTCTGCGTTCTGGATCCGCCGCTGAATTTAACTACATTTATCATAATATTGCTTGTTTTCTTAATCTTATAATAAAAATAAGGTTTAATACACTTGTATATCCAAAACTTTCACGGTTGTGCCAATAATATCCAAATTTCCCGAAATACCACTTATATCCATGTTTTAAAGTTGTTCTTTGCCAAATCTATCCATTTCCCAATATATTTTTGGTTAAATACACTTGTATATCCAAAAACACCTTTAAAGAATGTGAAGGAATTGGATATAAGTGGTATTTCGGGAAATTTGGATGTTATTGGCACAACCGTGAAAGTTTTGGATATACTAGTGTATTTAACCTAAAAATAATGAATAGTTCTAATATTTTTCATATGAATTACATACCCATTGGGTCGACCTACCCCGGCCTGCAACCCGTGATAAATTACCCGACGTAGACCCGACCTGTCATAGAACGGATCTGTGTACCAAAAAACCCGCCCAGACCTGTCCATTGTCATTCCTAATTATGTGAGAGCTCCTACATGGCCACATCTATCCAATTCAGACTCTGATGCTCATAATACTGCTGCGAGAATATACTCTCAAGATGCACAATCATCGAATAATGCTTATGAAGTCAGCATTTTAGCAAAATTAAATCCACACCATTAAGGTTACATGCTAATTGCTAACTACAAGTGATGTTCCCAAACAATAATCGTAATAAAAATAACGTGTTAATTCACCAACGGGTTATCCATGACCCGACCCAGCTTCGATCTAATACGTCACCCTAACCACCGCCTGCGATCGCCTGTGGAAGAAGGGGAAACCTCGCCACCGCCACCTCCACCTCCGCCGCCGCACCCAATCACGCTCTCCGTATAGCAAGACGAGTAGTTCGACTGCTGCTCCAACCCGCCGTAATACGCGCTGCTACTCACGCTCTTGAAGCTCGGGCTTCTCAACGGGTACTGGCCCAGTCCGGAAGTCAAGTGTGGATCCGGGACCGGGAACGACAGCCGCTTCTTCGCACACCCGCCAGCTCCGGGTCCTCTGTTCCCTCCGTCCCGCTCCGGCGTCGAAGGTCTCTGCCTCGGCGCGCTCCTTGCCCTCGCTGATTCCGTTGCCGCCATGTAATTCGGCAGCGAGCCGACGGCGGAGGAAGCGGCAGAGGAATTCGAGCTCCTTGTCAATCCGTGTTGATGGTTCGACAAATTGCCGGTGTAGCGGTAATTGGATCTGAGGCTGGGAGTCTGTGACGAATTCGATCTGTAATCTTCTCTGAAGCACGACGATCTGGGGCTCGCCGACCGGACCTGGACCGGCCTGGTCCGCGACGGAGAAGGCGTGACCGCGATGGGACTCTGATGGTGAAACGGCGGCATTTCTTTGGATCTGTGACGCGCCGGAGAGCTGGGTCTTTGGTGGGTTTGGTTCGACGGTCTCCTGCTGTTATTGGATGATGCCAGGTAAGTGTACGGCTGCGATGACGTGTCCATTTCTACGGTCTTGATTGGATCTCTATGGTCAGTTGATGCTCTGGCTCTACTGCTATCCCATGGCTTGGCTGCCATCCATCGATCCAGCCATTGTTGCGGTGGTCTGTTGTCTTGGAGCTCTGCTTCGCTTCCTACTGATGGACTCCTGCCACTATTCCTCCATATCTTCGCCTGTTGAGACAGGTTCCTCTGGCGATTCAAGGCAGCATCTTTCCTCTGCTGAAGCATTGCCTTCACTTCTTCAATGGTGTGCGGCCGCTCATCCCAATCGTCAGCGGCAATGCTGCTGCTTCCTTCTCTGGACTGCTGTTTCAGGGTCAGATTCGATTTAGAATGAATCAAATTCGATGTTGATGACAAGGACGACATTATAAGATGTAAAGCGTACCATGGATTTCCGGTCAGAGAGGTCTTGCAAGTATCTTGATTCGATAATGCTAGTGGTGTCGCTGAAGGTGGATTTCCGGCTGCCTTCGTGGGAAAGGCGCATCCTTTGATCGAGGATTCGACTTTGGACTCGAACCAGAGCTTGCATGCATCTCAATGTCATCTTGGCTTGCTTCCTCACGTTGTGTCCCCTGACGAGTGCCTGCAACTTCACCAGCCCCTTCAGCGCTCTCAATGCCCTCCTCGCCTTCAATTAGCAAACACCATTTAATGAGACTTTCGAAGATCAAATCAGGGAGGAAAAGGAAAAAGGGGGGAACTGGGTTGTTATTAGCTATACCAGATATCCTCTAAAGGAGGTTTGAATGACAATGGCAGCATAGTGCTCCCTGGCGTGGTAGTTAGGCCTAGCAAGCCTGGCGACCTCCACAGCAGCCTGAGCGGTGGCCACGGCGGCTTCTGCAGCTGCTGCGGTTGCTACGGCCACCGCGATGGCATGCCTCTGCTCAGCTGCTGCTGCTGACGACTGGTCGGCGGGTGGAGGTGTGGGCTTTTGTTGGATTGGTGCAGCAGCTTCTTGGCTGGTGGGTTTCCTGAATATCCATCTCCGCTTCTCTCGTTTCTGCAGGCAGAGGAGGCATTTGAGCACCAAATGGAAAAATCCAACCAAAACTAAAAAAGAAGAAGAAAGAAAAACACAACAACAGCATACCTTTTCTTCATCGTCGCCGACGTCTTGGTCATGGTTTTGGCCTCTTCTTCGGTTATCGGTGGATTCCTTGGTGGGAGATCTGAAAGCCCTCTTCACTGCAGTCAACCAAGAGGAAGTGCTGCCTCCCTTCTTCCCCATCAAGAAGAGCAGCTGTGGAGTTTTTTTCTCTTGGTGTTGTCCTTGTCTAAGTTAAAAACCCCACAGCTGCATTTACAGCGAGGCAGGCAGCTTGGGAGGAGAGTAAAGACGGTCATAATGAGGTAATTGCATGTGCATAGATAGATAGAGATGTCCAACTTGTTTGTTTAAAATTGAAGTGCTTTTTTGACAGAGCAGTGACAGGCAGGCTGTGAGTGACAGAGTGAGTGAGCCATATGCAGATGCAGAGGCGAGGCGAGGGTGGAGAGATTAATTAAATAAATTAATTAACTGGGGGAGAGAGCGGGAGACTGGGATTATTATACGGTCAAACTGGTGGGAAATGGGAAAGTAGAAGTAGAACACCCTCCCTTCTGATCTGAACGTGGGTGTTTGTTCTTCGCTTTTGGGAATGGGAATGGAATGGATGGAGGACAAGGAGTGGGGAAGGTGGCAGGAGTTCTTGCTTCTGAGTTAGGTAATGTGATTGAGTAGTAATAGGAACTTTCAACATTCCAAGTGTTTTGTGAACCCATGGTTTTGGTTCTATGTTAAACAACTTGTTTAAATTGCTTGTCTATGGGTGTACTCATGGTTAGTAAATATGGCTTACATTTCTTCGAATATTTATGTATGATTTAATTACTCATTCATTTTTAAGGAGTGTCCTTCGTATAATTTATTACGTAAAAAATGCTCTTTCAACATTTACAGTAACAAATAGTAGGAAAAAAATATTATTTTCAAAATATGATATACTAATAGATAACTTAAATGAATATATCAAGGTACTAGTTTGTTGGTAAAAAATCCTTAATGATAACAAGGTTTAGTAGTTTCAATTCTACTCCTAACACACAAATACCCATATAATTTATTGCGCTCTCCCAAATTTGAGGTGGTGTCATGTACTCACTTTGAGATGAGGCGACTCTTTTAACTCATTGGAAATGTATTTATCACGAGTTAAAATACAAAATTGGATGTGATTATTTTTAATATGAGAGACTAAAACTTACAAAACAACTTAGTAAAGCCATAGATATGTTGGAAGAATATAATAAATGATACTAGAAATACCACTAACCTTCCTTTTTATCCTCACATTTTTTATAACATACCTTTTATCCCACTTTTGAGGTCACTATTTTTCTATTTCCAAAAGTTGAACACCACTAGGGCACGAGCCCACCTCTTTATTGTTGAGGGAAAGCGTAGATAGAATCGAACCGAATCAAAATCCAAGGGGGTTAGATTGCAAATGGGGAAATGGAGAATGAGAACAGAGTATATGATTCCTAACATAGGGCGCAACTGCCAGATTCCATCCATGATATATGTATGCATAACATTACGTCTTACGATACTTTCCTTCTTCCTAGCCTCATAAAACATAATGAATTCCTTGGTAACCAGCAAAAGAAGAAAACAATGGACAATATTCGTAAGATTTTAGATGGGTGAAATTCGGAATTCTCAAATACAACGCACCTTGACCAAACTAGTTCACCTCTCCACAAGAAACCCATGACTTAAAAAAGGGAGAAGAAAAGTCATCCTCTTCTTCTATCAATAGTAGTACCTAGTTCCCTCTCCTTTCTATATCCTAATACACCAAGTACATCATCCAAAATAACAAAACCGGCAGCACTGCTTTGACTAGGGCATGTATTGTTCATTCCTTCAACCGTCTCTGCAATTCCTGAACAAACGTAGCTCTCGGAACCTCTTCCTCGATGTTGGCTTCCATGTTCTTCAGCTTCACGGTACCACTCTCGAGCTCCTTGTCCCCAACGAGGACCATCCATGGTACCTTTGATTCCTTGGCTCTGGCCATGTGTTTGTCAGACCTCTTGTTAACGACGTACTCCGCTTTCACTTTGCTGTCCCACAGCTCCCCAGCAAGCTCTGCAGCTAGAGGCAGCTTGCTTTTGTCCCCGAGGATGCTCAGCTGAACCTGGGTTTCAGTAGGACGAACAATCTACCGATGGCCAAAACAGAAAAGGAAAAACAACCACATGAGCGCCTATCAAATGATCTTTTAACTCATACGTAGCTCAAGAATATGGACCCCGTAAGGAGAATCGGTTTCAAGAGTTCAATTTCGGTCTTAATGCTTGGCGCTAGGGGTTAATGGTAGTCATAAGATAGACAATTTTTGCTATATCAACCTAACAACATTGCAGCTCCTAATCACTTGGAACATCAGATAACTCAAAAGTCGGAACCACTCTACATCCCGTTTATTTTTAGCTTTCTAATTCCCAGAGTTTGATTAATTGCAAAAAACTTGGCCTGAAGTTTTTCTATATTTGGTACTCCATTCACCATCTTACCTGGTTCCTGTCCTTCTGAACCTGCTCCATTATAGCAAACACGCGTTCGATCCCCAGGCTGACTCCAACAGCAGGGACTTGCTTGGTGCCAAACATGCCGATAAGGTTGTCGTAACGACCACCAGCAGCAATCGAGCCAACCTAAAAGGCATCGATACATTTGACCAGACTTATTAACGAACAAAATCCCAGATCAAAGTTGGAGTAACAAAACAACAATAACAAGGACGCACTTGTGTAGTTCCTTTGAAGACAGCCTCGTATATGACTCCGGTATAGTAATCAAGCCCTCTGGCAAGGCTCAAGTCAAAAACAACTTTGCTAATGCACTTTGAACGGTCCAGTGCTTCAAAAAGAATATCCAATTCATCCAGTGCACGTTTAGAAGAAGCATTCAGCAAAAAATCGCTGCCCTCTTGTTTGAGCTTCAATAGTAATTCCTTGGGGGATCCCCTTTCTTTCACAAATGTACCAATTTTGTCTGCAGTCACCGCACTTAGACCTTTCTCCTCGACCTGAGAGACATTGCAGATTTGCAGTGAGTGAATAGCATCACAAATCATCATAAAAATCCCAACGCAAAAGCTCCCCAGCATTAGCTGAAGAGATGAAACTCTTACCATTTCCTTTTTTACTTGCTCAAATGATTGTTTATCTAATTTGTCAATGCTGGAACAAATTGTCCTGAACTTTTCAGATGGCACTCCACATATTTCTAACATGCCGTCAAGCAACTTCCGGTGATTTAATTTGACCTGTTGAAAGTAAAACAAAGAAGGGGGGAAAGATCAATTGCTTAATTCAATACCTGGAGATGAATGACTTGTTCCCAGTTACATCAAACAGGACTTGTTCAAGCAAAATATTAATTATGGAGGCAGCGTTGTGCAAGCAAGATAGTAGGCATTACCTCATAATCACCAATATCTAGCTCATTGAGTAATTCAGTCAGAATTTTAATGACCTCAAAATCCGGTCCCATTTCTTCATACTGTCCAGCAATATCAAAATCACACTGATAAAACTCGCGGTATCTTCCTTTTGCTGGATTATCTCGTCTGTACACTTTAGCTATCTGGTACCTTTTGAATGATGTGATACCATTCATAGCCACATACCGAGCAAATGGAACAGTTAAGTCGTACCGCAAAGAACATAGCTCCCCACCCTGTGAAATTCACAAGACAGTCATATCAGCTTAAGATTGAAATCATGATGAATCTCCTTCTAAAGGGATAAACTAAATGACTCAAGGGAAAACCCCAACTTTCAAGCTCGATATTTCCCTAAAAGAGTACTTCGGAAATAATCATAACAACACAGCATACCTGGTCAGCAAGATCATAAACCAACTTTGAATCCTCCCCATATTTCCCCATCAAAGTCTCTCTCAACTCAAAAACTGGAGTGTCTAGAGCAGTTGCACCATGCCTCTTGAAGACGTCAGCAATGATAGAGAATGCTTTTTCTCTTATTGTCATTTGCTCCTTAGAGAAGTCACGAGTACCCTGTTTTTTCAAATCATAAGAAAAGAACAAGATTGTTAAAATGGTTGCAACTTTGTCAACGAAGAAAAGCTTTAGCAGATTGGTAAAAAGGAAACAAAAAACAGCGAAGAAAGATAACAGGCAACTGAGGAAGCTAACAAAACATCCAACTGCAAAGTTGCAATGAACTCTTTTTACCTTAGGAAGCTTAGGAAGCCTTCTACTTTCATTGCTTTCCACTATTCCTTTAACTGTGGTTACTAACTCCCCAAATTTAGGGCGCTTGTGATTGAAAAACAATAACACATCCTCCACCCATTTCTCCAACACAGTTTGACCATCACTAGATCCCACTTCCTTTCTCTGTAACCATTCCTTAATCAACTGCACAGTCAGGCTAGTTCCTTTCCCCAGAACCGCCTTCTTTTTCTTCTTCTCACTCTTCTTGTCAACCGGTTTATCCCCTCCATTCACCTCAGTAGTCATCGCACCCTCCAAATCTCCACCCTCCAGAACAACAAAAGCCGTCACAACCTCCCACGAGACAACATTCCAAACAGTCTCCAGCAAACAATTCAATGCATGAACGAATGCTGGATAATCCTCTTCGAAGAGCAAATCTGAAACCAACTTAGCAGCATTGCTCAAATCAATTTCTGTAGGGCATTTCTCCTCAAACAGAGTAAGCAAACCAGTTCTAGAACTTTCAATCCCTACAGCTTCAACATTCAGCTTCGCTCTGCTTAAACTATTTGCCCCCACATTCCTTAGGGCGGGTAAAGGTTGCAGCTTTGCCGCCACCGCCTCCCTCTCCCCTCCATCCACGGCTTTCACAGAGGAATTCAGCTTGACCCTCGTCATCGAATGCACTGACTTCACAAACTGCCTCAATCCTCCGTGAACTTCAGGAATCTTTGAAATTGCCTGGATCGAATTCTTTCCCGCCATCTTCGATCCACTGAGCAACAACTTCATATCACCGGCGACACCAATCTCATCCTTGTCAACATGTCCATCTCCAGAATCCGTGGAATTGAATGCCAAGTCGTTTCCTTTCAGCGCCTCGCACGACAATGCAGCCACGGCGTCGACTACAGTCGCCAGAGCAGCTGCTTCGTGGTCGATAACGGCGGAAACGCCGTACAGCTCCGCACAGGAGTTCTGGACCACCAACCCTTCCTCTTCCGTTACTTCAACTGACCCGAGACTCGGCGCGACGCCGGAATCCGAATTTAGGGCATCGGCGATCAGATTGGGGAGGACGGTGCGGATTTGTGAAGGATTCGGGTGGCGAAGGAGCTTGTTGAGCAGGACGACGAGTGAGGCTCGACATTCGACCGGGGTTAATGTTTCAGGGATCGGGATTCTGCATGTTTTCAGAGACTGCGGCGGAGGGGACTGAGTCTGAGTGGTTAGCCTATCAAGCGCCGAAGAGTCGATGCGGAGTCGAGCTTGGCCGGCAGCGATGGCGTTGACGGAGGAGGAGGAAAGGGATGAGCCCTTGCCTCCCAAGGATACGACCTGGACTTCTTCGCCGCCGCCGTCCGCCATTGATGACAGCCGTGAGAAGGGTTCTTACTTCTTAGCCGTTTAGTAAGATTTTAGACAGTTACCTTGCGACTGTGGCGTTAGGGTTTCAGCGAATCTAAGATCAGCGACAGTATGGAGATATATTACAATTTAGTCCTTTATATTTTATCTCGCTCAAACTACAAACAATATTTGTTCTTGTATTAGATTAGATTCCTGAAGTTTAATATCTGTAGACTTCAGTACTTTTAAAACCGATTTTCTTCAATAAATTTGACATCATTAATAATTATAATTGGATTTGAAACTAAGAATATGGTTTTTTTGAATGGCTTATTAAAAAATACATGTAGAGTGGGGCATCGAAACAAAAGTTATTAAGACATGTTTCTTTTTGTTATAACCAAAGCAGTCAAAATCGGGATTTTACCTAAAATCAAAAACTGGGATAAAATCGGAATCGTAAAATCGAATCGTAAAATCGTAGGATTTTAAGTACCATATGGAACATAACCTATAATAATATTAATAAGGTAAATAATCAATAACACAAAGACACATAACATTTAAAATGATAATTCTCAAGATTTTTTTTTTATATACAAAAGATAATTCTCAAGATTAATGTTCCAAAATCACAATTTTAATTTTTATTTAATGCATAACTCAAAATAATTCATGAGGAAGGGATAAAGTTCAATGAGTTTGTCTCTTATTTTCATGCTGTGTCTAGGTAGTTTAACTCAAAGTAATATACCGACATCGTCTAAGTATGATTTGAAACTAAAAATATTTGAACTCCAATAAAATAAGTAATGCTAGTGGCTTGGTACAAATATATTCATTAATAAATTAATTAGTTAATAATGATGTTAATTCTTACTTACTTCTAATATTAGGACAATTATTTTACCCATAAGTTAAATGGGGCGAAGGGAAAGGGATTGCCCGAGCCCTAATTTAGTTATTTTTATTATTTTTAAATATTTTTTAATAGAAATAATATATGAGAAGATTCATGGCATTGCCCTTTCTGCCGAAACAATTATGCTTCTTTTAGATTAGCTCAAACCACCTATTTTTTTCTCATACGATCAAAATCCCGATTTTGGTACGATTTTACGATTTTAACGATTTTAATCCCGATTTTAAACGATTTTAAGGTCCACCGATTTTATAGTAAAATCAGGATCGGAATCCCTAAGTAAAATCCTAAAATCCTACGATTTTACGATCAAAATCCCGATTTTGACTGCATTGGTTATAACTAACTTTGAGTTATAGACGGAATCTTTTATTAAGTTTATAGCTTTTTTCCTGTTGTACATGTTGTAGATGAATGTATATCTTTGGATAACTTTATTACGTAGTGTGGTTCAGCTCTTGATTATTAAGGTACACAAACTATCACACAAAATTGATATTGATAAGCCCTACCTGTGATTTTACCACGTTTTTTCATGGTCTTACCAGTTTAATATTCGTTGATAGAAGTTCACAAATATAGACGAATGATATCATATAGATAGAAACTCTTCTCATTAATTATGTATTTAACAACGCAACAAAGTACATAAGCAAGTGATTAAATTAACAGGATATGAAAATGCTAAATATAATACACATAGATCCAACATTTTGTCTTTGATATTTCCAAAGACATTAGCTAGCTAGGTATATATCCATTGGAAATGACTCTAAGATTACTTAACTACGTAACTCCTCATCAACTTAGTTGATCAAAATTGGTGGTTGTGGGTCCATAAAACACCCTAGACTAATAACCATAACAGTAGCATCATCCAAGTTGCCTCTGCTGAAAGCCAACTGAACCAGCTTCTTGCATGACTCCATCAATACTCCATTGTTGTTATCATAATGCCTTGAGACTTCATCCACTGCCTCTTGCTCACCAACCTTGTCCCAGAGGCCATCAGAAGCCATGATCAAGAACTGGCAATCTGGAGTGATTGGAAGCTTAGTGATCTCGGGGTCGGAGATGACCCATTCCTTCAGATGGAGGTCCCCTATAGCCCTCGAGATGGCTAGGGAACCTTGGACTCTGTCGCAGTGCACGTATCCGCCCTGCAATCGTACACAAGTACCAGAATTAGCACTAATGTTGTGTCATATCCTTGATGGTTGATGCCTAACAAGATCAATTTATTAAGCGGTTTATAGAATTAATCATACCAAATTTTCAATACGTTGGCGCTCATCTTGTCTAGTGCTCAGACGGTGATCGACTGTCAATGGAGCGGCCACTCCGTTTTTGCTTAGGATCACTCGGCAATCTCCCACGTTGGCTATGTGCATCTCTCCATTTTTCATCACTACACTTGCAGCACAAGCTCCACTACTAACCCCCTGCATAAGGAAGATTAAAAAAAACAAAATTAAGAACTGATCAATAAGGAGAAATTCAACCATAAAAAGAAACGCGCATTGAATTTCAATTTATAAGGGTTCCATCAAAATATCGTAAAAGTCTAAGCGCAAAACAAAAACTTTGATAACCGAAAAATCTCGCAATTAAGCCCTAATGTGGACACTGATTTTCACACTAGCTAGCTAGCTAGTAACCTAAGGTCCAAGATAGGGTCAGTAACCACTGGTTACTGACCCATCAGTAACAACACGCGGGCCGTTGATTTGGGAAGGGAGAAATCGTGTGGATGGGCTGGACGCTGGGTGGGGAGGGGCATTTTTGTCCGTTTTCGTATTTTTAATTTTTTATTACTTCCGCATTTCAATGGCTGGCTTTTCAATAAAAGGGAGAGAATCTTCCTTCTCTGCAACTCAACTTTCTTCCTTCTCTCTTCCTTTTTTCAATCTCTTCCATAACCTTTCTCTTTCTCTATTCCTTCTCTCTTACTTTTTTTTCTCACAATCTCCTTTTCAAATCTAAATCTGCTCTCTTCCTTCTTCATTTTTTTTCTCTAGCATAAAAATTGTAGCCACTCTCTTTCATTACATTTCTTCTCTTCATCAACTCGTTGGACTCAATTCCGATCTTTCTCATTTTTTTGGCATTTTGGTGTTCTTGATTGAGGAAGAGGAAATGAGAGGCATCAGAAGACGATTTTTTTCTCTCCCTCCTTCTGTTTTTTTCCTTTTAGATAATATATATTGATATTATGACTCTATACCATATGGTATTGGGTGGTAACGAAATATATATTGACATTACCATACTATACCCTATGGTAATTTATGGTATTGCGTGGTAACGAAATATATATTGATATTACCACTCTATACCATATGGTATTGTGTGATATTACCACACTATACCATATGGTATTGTGTGGTAACGAAATATATATCGATATTACCACACTATACCCTATGGTATTGGGTGGTAACGAAATATATATTGATATTACCACACTATACCATATGGTATTGGGTGGTAACGAAATATATATTGATATTACCACACTATACCATATGGTATTGGGTGGTAACGAAATATATATTGATATTACCACTATATACCATATGGTATTATGTGAATTGTGTGATATTACCACACTATACCATATGGTATTGGGTGGTAACGAAATATATATTGATATTACCACACTATACCATATGGTATTGGGTGGTAACGAAATATATATTGATATTACCACTCTATACCATATGGTATTATGTGAATTGTGTGATATTACCACACTATACCATATGGTATTGGGTGGTAACGAAATATATATTTATATTACCACACTATACTATATGGTATTGGGTGGTAACGAATTATATATTCATGTGGCAAATATTACCATACCACATGGTATGCTATTGTTTAATACCAATCAATACGATATGGTACAGTCAATACCATATGGTATGACTGGTAATAACTTACAAATTTTTTTGTGTCCAAAAAATATCAAAGTGGATATCATTTTGAAGAGCACAATTAATCTGATCTAACTGTACAAAAAAAATTAAATTTCGACTTAAAACGAGTGAGAAATCGTCCGTCAAAGATTAAGGAAAGGAAAATTAAATGTTTTGCCAGGAGAGAGAAGGAGGGGCTGATAGGCTCCGGTCAAAAGTGAGCATCAATAATAAATAGGAGTAAGTGCAATTTTACCGTACTACCCTTTTCACATTTAATTTAAATAAAAAAGTGATTGACACGTGGGGACCAAGGAAGGGGTTACTGATGGGTTACTGACCCATCAGCTACTGACAAGATCCGGACCCGAATTGATAGGGCGTTTATTTGTACTGATTTTGATTGTCTCTTGGGCAACTGCAGGCTTTCTGCTTTAGAGCGCGTTGAGTCAGATCATTGTCCGATTATGATTGAATGGGGGTTCGAGGAGAGGTTACATCGGTACTGGAAGTTTGAGAACATGTGGTTTCTTGATGAGAGCTTTATTGCTAACACTAGTGAGTGGTGGAATTGTCAACCCAGAGGTGTTGGAGATTTGTTTCTCTTTGGGCAAAGGCTGAGGATGTTAAAAGAGAAAATCCGCAAGTGGAACAAAGAGGAGTTTCGAAAAGTTGATGTTAGAATTGCTGAGATCTTGGCTGAAATTAAGATGTTGGACGGGAAAGAAGAAGATGGACCTATCTCTGTGGAAGACAGGAGCAGGCGGGATACTCTCAAGTATGATCTTGATAAGGTTTTGCTTATGGAGGAAGTGGCTTGGAGACAAAAATCTCGGGAAAATTGGCTTAAGGTGGGCGATATGAATTCAAGGTATTTTCATGGAGTGGTCAATCACAACAGAAGAAGGAATTTCATCAGCTCTCTCAAGTTTAATGGGACGCCTGTTGAAGGGCAATCTGCGCTCAAAGCGGCTTTTGTTGAGCACTACTCTGCCGTGTTCAAGGAGGAGAAGAAAGTCAGGCCTTTCCCTGCAAGCTACGGAGGGGTGACCATCTCGGATTGTGAAAGGAATTCCCTCGTTCGACAATTCTCTGAAGAAGAGATCTGGATGGCAGTTAGAAAGTGCAGGGGAGATAAAGCTCCTGGACCCGATGGCTTCTCTCTGGAGTTCTTCAAAAAATGTTGGGATGTGATCAAATCTGATATGTTGAAAGCCTTTGAGGACTTCTTCATCAAAGGGGAGCTGCCGATCTGCATTGCTCACTCCTTTCTGTGCCTTATTCCGAAGAAAGAGAGTGTTATCGAGGTGAAAGACCTTAGACCCATCAGTCTGATTGGTAGTGTCAACAAAATCATTTCAAAGGTTCTTACGGAGAGATTGAAACCGATCATGAGCAAGTTAATTTCTGGAAACCAGTTCTCCGGCATTCGTGGAAGACAAATTCATGAGGCTTCATTGATCGCTAATGAACTGGTTGATAGCAGGAGGAAAAGCGGGAAACCAGGGCTCATCTTCAAACTCGACATCGAAAAGGCTTTCGACAACGTGAACTGGGAATGCCTTGTTAAGATTATGGCAAGCTTTGGGTTCCCTCCGGCCTTCCAAAGGTGGATTCACGGCCTTGTCTCTTCGGCTCACCTCTCGGTCCTGGTTAATGGGGAAGCTGCTGGGTTCTTCAAAATTGGCAAAGGTCTTCGTCAGGGAGATCCGATGTCCCCTTTCCTGTTCAATCTTGTTATGGATGTCTTATCTATGATGCTTGAGCGGCTTCGTGTGGCGGGATTAATCACGGGTTTTTGTATGGATGAGGGCAATAGGAGGGGTGAAGTGACCCATCTTCTCTACGCAAATGACACTATTATTTTCTGCGACGCCGATGAAGATCAGGTGATGAACATTTTAGCAACTATTATCTGCTTTCAGACTGTTACCGGGCTCAGAATCAATGTGGAAAAAAGCAAGATGCATCCGATTGGTAGCGTGGACAACCCAGATAGATTGGCTGCCATGTTCGGATGTGGTTGGAGTTATCTGCCTACAGTGTACTTGGGGCTCCCCTTGGGAGCCAGCCCAAATTCAGTTTCGGTTTGGAACCCGGTTTTAACAAGGTTTCAGTCCAGATTGGAAGGTTGGAGAGGAAAATTTCTCTCCCTCGGTGGAAGGCTTACGCTTGCTAGCAGCGTGCTATCTAGTCAGCCCCTTTTCCTCGGATCTATATGCAAAGCACCTAAGTCGGTGATCGGGAAGATGGAGAAATCTCTTCGGAGGTTCATTTGGTCTGGCGTTCAGGATAAAGGAAGATACCATCTTGTTAACTGGCAGTTGTGCAAGGCCTTAAAAAAAGAAGGAGGGCTGGGTATTCTTGACATGGCTAGCATGAATTCGGCACTTCTCTCTAAATGGCTCTGGAAGTTCGCCACGGAAAAGGAAGCGTGGTGGAGGAAGATGATCAGTATAAAATTCCCTAACCCTTCTTCTTTGTGGAAGGCTGGACAGATTGATGGGAGGATTGGATGCTCGCTGTGGAAGTCTATTGCTAAGGAAGAGTCTTGCTTCTGGAAGTTTGCTGTTGTTGATCCGGGTGGTGGTGCTTGGGTGTCTTTCTGGCAGGACCGGTGGAACCATGGTATGACCCTCGGTGAATCCTTTCCAAGAGTCGCTGCCGCTTCTGCTCTTCCACAAGGCTGGGTTTCTGAGTTCGTATCCTTTTCTTCTGAGAGGGGGGTGAGCTGGAATTTGCCTCTTATTTTATCATTGAGAGGGGGGCTGAAAGAGAGAGGTGTGATTTATTGGATTTCTTGTCAAACCTTCCTCCTGGTTCGGTTTCATGTGGTCCTTGCAGGATTATGTGGTCGCCGTGTCCAAGAGCTGGCTTCTCTGTACGCTCAATGTACCAATGCCTGTGTCGCGAGAAGTTTCCGGGAGTGGCGAATTTCCCGTTCAAGTCAGTATGGAGATCGAAGGTTCCTTCGAAAGTTAATGGATTTGCTTGGCTGCTCTTTCATAATCGCACTCTTACCCATGACAATTTAAAGAAGCGAGGATGGAATATTGTGAGCAGGTGCGTGTTGTGCGAAGCGAACATTGAGACTGCGTCCCACCTGTTCAGAAGCTGTGAGTATAGCACTAGAATTTGGGACAGATTTATGACAGTTCTGTCAGTTGGAGGCCCATTCCCGATCGATATCCAACAGTTGTTTGGATGCTGGTGCCGAGAGGATCCTGGTGATTGGCTGGATTGGTTCCGGTATCTTTTCCTTCATGGCTTCGTTTGGGAGGTGTGGAAGGAACGAAATGAGAGATCCTTTAAAGATACAAGTAAGACGTGGCAGGTCATTTTCCATAAAATTGGACGAACACTACTTCATTGGATCTCTGCTGCGGGACAGATCAATGATCGAAATGCCAAGGATTGGCTGAGATTGCTTGCACAGGCGTGCCCTCCTCCACGAAACATTAGCATTTAGATGCCTCTGGGTTTTGGTTTGTTTGGGTTTCATCTGCTGTCCTTGGTTCGTTAGCTCCTGCAGGAGTCTTGTGTATTCTCTTGGTCTTCTTTTCCTCCCCTCTATTTCTGTTGTTTCTGCTGTTCTTGCTTTTTTTTGGGTCCCGGTTTGTGTGTCCCTCCCCTTCCTCTTTTTGCTTCCTGAACTTGTATACACCCCTGGTGTATTTCCTTGGTAATGCATCTTCACCATTATCAAAAAAGAAAGAATTCGGTGCATGGGTAGATTGTGAAATCCATGTTGAGAATAACTCGATGATTTCAGGGGTTTGCTTATGCATATGGGAATGTTAGTGGCCTTGTTGTTTAGTTGTTTTCATTAGCTGTTGGTTTCTCAGTCATTGATGTATGGTATTTAACAGATCTCCACCTCAGAAAAGGCTTCACCGAATCTTCCAAATGGACACTCCACTCCACTCTCGTCTACGAAATCTAGGCCCCATGGGATGTCAATTAATGACTCTGATTTTGCTAGGCATACCATGAGCATGCGGGCACCAGGCTCAACTTCTGCTTCCGACCAAGGTATTGCATATTTTTCAGTTTTTTATCGTTTCCATTTCTGCAATTGGTGCCTGATTCGTGGGTAGGGTCTATTAGTTGCAGTACTTCTGAGCAAGTGTTTTTTCTTTGGTTACTTTCCAGTTTCCCCTGCCCCAACAACCTATCCTAGTAACGGATACGGTTCACATTGCAATGGTTATGATAACAATCGGAGAGTATATTGGTCCCCACATGACCCCCTTAGCCGTTTTAGGTTTGGACGATGAGTAACCTAGAAAAAACTTCAGCTTGCCTGCTGTCTAGAAATAGAGGCGGTTTTTTCTAGGACGCTGAATTCTCTGTTGTAGTGTTGATGCTTGTAGAGCAAGTGGCTAATAGGTGAGCATAAGTAGTGTCTCAAGCTGTGAATATGTTAACGGCTAGGAGAAAGGTGTTGTGCTTAACTCTTAGCCATCTTGTATAATATTGGTAGGTATCCATTCGGCCACAGAAATGCTGTTTGTGATTCTCCAGTTTAGTGAATCCTGTTATAGTTAGTGGACTGAGACTCAATCATCTCCTTGTTTTTTTCTCTTCTTCCATGGTTTTCATTTATCACGGAGATTAGATACTCTATCTCCAACTCGTTGTTTCATCACCATCTTCATCTTTTAGTGAGGTGTTTTGGTGGGTCCGAGCATAGCAAGTGTTGTTCTCATTTTTCTTCACCCTAAAGGGTACTGAACTGGTGATATGTCTTATAGTTTCTTTATGGAACATGCATGTTTTCTCTGGTGGTCACACTGTCACTGCTTGCAGAGCATACTGTTTTCACATTCTGGTTGGTCTTCCGCCTCGCGTGCTTTATGGGCAGTGAGTGTCATAAATGAAATATATGCATGGTTTCCAGCTTGTGCATGTATACGAGGTGAGTCGGGTATGCGCCATAGCCATGGTTTCCGTACTGCCAGACTGCTGTCACATTGATTCAACGTCCATGGCTCTCTGCTGGAATTGAAGATGTGGTGTGAACTCTTCTTCTGTATGGTTGGTTGATAGATAACAATTTCTGACTGTCGAAAAGATGTCAAGCCCTCCGGACCCTGTTACCTTACCAGTGGACGGCGGGTAATCATCAAGGAATATAATTGGCATGATTAATTTCCAACTATGTAGCGTGTTTGGCTCAAAAAAATTCACGAGGTTATGAAATTCATTATCAGAACAATGACTGTACGAGTTTCCAAGAATATTTTATGGGTAAAGTAAATGAGATTGATTGATTTAAGTAATCTAGAGCAAGTTAATAATGGTTGCTCAATATTCATTTGGAAATTCATTATCAAAACCATTGGCAGAGCTAGGTGAGGGGACTTGGAAAATGAATATACATTAAAAATGGTGGATTTTAAGGTGTGGTTAGTAAATTTAGAACCACGTACCCCTCTTCATACCCTCTTCCTAAGACAATGATTTTACTATTGAGGCAAACTTTGTATTTCATTTTGTTTGGACCCCACTAAAATATATCTCTGGCTATGCCAATGATCAAAACAGTGACGGTCATAGAATAATTTGTATGCCTCGAAGCAGTTTTTGGATGCATAGTAGTAAACGATTTGGACAATGTTCAAGTCCAACAATGTCACCTCTAGGTTTCAACTCCAAAAATAAAATAAAATAAAATACTTCTCCTTTCACACCCATATATATATATATATATATGTCATCGTGTTTGTACATCCCAATCCTTCCATTCCATATATACATCAACCAAACCAAGAACAAGAAGCGAGGGAGAGAAATTGAGAAGAAATGGGAGAAGTTGAAGAGGTTAAGCTTTTGATGACGGGCCTAAGTCCGTTCGCCGGAAGGATCATTTGGGCACTGAAGCTCAAAGGCGTGGAGTTCGAGTCGGTGGAAGAAGATCTGACCAACAAGAGCGATTTGCTTCTCCAAAGCAATCCCGTTCACCAGAAAATCCCAGTCCTCATCCATAATGGGAAGCCCGTGTCGGAATCGCTTGTCATCATGGAGTACATCGACGAGGTGTGGAACCAAACTTGTCCTTTGCTGCCGGCCGACCCTCACCAGAGAGCTCTAACTCGATTCTGGGCTAAATTTGTTGATGAAAAGGTAACTTCTATATAAACTCTAGAAGAAGAAAAATATTATGTTAGTAAAAATTACATGTTCCATTAAACCGTACCGTACCGGCGGTTCAACCACGAAATACCAGTATCGGAGGCTAAACCGATAGGCGGTATTTAACGATCTAACGGTTGAAATACAATTAAACCACGGTTTTATCATAAAATATCATATTGCTGACTTTTCCGGTACGATATCCGGTACTATTTCATGGACCATGAAAAATTGTAAATGGTATGTTATAATTTGGACAAGATGGCTTTATTCGAATTCCGGCGATACTTGATTCTTTTGGAGAAGTCGTCTTATTTGAATCCTGATGATCTTCGATGTTAAGCACGTGGTATTTACATATGTGCAAACTTTAACCTCATATGAGCTGGTTTCATTTGTGGGGCAATGTTAGTGAACGATTAATATCCATATAGTTGAGGATTTCCATTAATATATAACTCGAGCTATAGAGACTAATAGGTTTATGAAATATATATTACGTACAGGTCTTTAGTATTTATTAGTTCATATTCGATAGTAAATAAGAAAGAGCCCATATCTTCTTAATTAACCACCCAGAATCTCCTATAACTCTTGAATTTGCATGTTCCATGGGATCGATGCTCGAAATTAGGGAACATTGTCCTCATTGAACTTAATTTTGTGTTGTTGAAGGCTTTTGCATCAATGTGGAGTGCCCTACAAATGAGAGGCAAAGAAGGAGGCGAGGCTGCCCTTGAAGAAGCTCATGAGAACTTGAGGATCCTTGAGAAGGAGCTGGAAGGGAAGAAGTTCTTCGGTGGGGAGAGCATTGGACTTGTGGATGTAACATTTGGGTCCTTCGCAAAACTTTTAGATGTGTTGGATGAAGTGATGGGCAGTGACAAGAAGATGATTGATGAGGACAAGTTCCCACTGATGGGTAAATGGAAGGAACAACTGTCTGAGCTTGCTGTTGTTAAGAGTTGTCTGCCGCCGGCTGACAAATTGGCTGCGGCTGTCCAAGCCCGACGCAATGAATCAGCTGCTGCCTAGGCCTAGTTTTGACGTTGTGCATTTGGATACAATAAAGAAATTGATAGGGGGATTTTAAATCTTATCTTATCTTACTATATATTATGTTGTTCAAAAACAACTTCTTGCCACATAAGCACTTGGAGAATTCACAAATTGCCAAGGTGGATAATTTTTTTTTACAAGCAAAAAAGTTAGTTAATGAGTTATTTATGGAGTTATCTCTCTCTTCTTTTAATGGTGTTTTCTTTTATTCAATAATTCTTTTTTTTTATTTATATCTATGTTTGTAGAAGAAGGCTAATGTTTGTAAGTGATATACTGATATATCACATTTGTTTAAACAAAAAATATCTTATTAAATTTTATAAGCAAAATTTCTACTAATTTTAAACAAATACACACATAAAAATAATATTTTCATCAATTAAACAAAATATAATGATGGAAATAAAGAAATAATTGTTAGAAAATCAATCAACTTTCATAAACGAACTATGTTATTTTATATTTTTGGCTATTAAACACTCTTATTTAGAGATGACAACCAAATCCATGACCGCAGGTGCACAACCGCCTCCGACCCAGTCAATGCGGGGAATATTCTCATTGATTGGGTATGGGTAAAACACGCAAATTTTTTGATGGAGATGGGTGGATACGGTTTTGAAATCCCCCGCCCCATACCCATACCCAAACCCGCCCCGCCGAGGATCATTTGTTATATGCAGCAAAAATAACGAGTCTATTGTAATATGTCAATAGAAGGAAGGGTAATTAAAAGAAAACAGAGTTTTAAAATATAATTGATGGCCACCAAATCGTAATTTCATCCACTTATGTATAAGTTCCATACTTTTGGGCAGGTAGTACCAAAATTTTTTACATTTTTTTTATGGTGAGTAGCTTATGGGACGAGTATTACCCATGGGTATCCGAAACCGCGGGTATGGAGATGAGTTTGTAAATCCTTCCACCGTATGGGTATGCGGCAGGTACGAGTTTAGGTATTTGAAAATGGGAATGAGAATGAGGATGGTTTAGGAAAACCCGACCCATTGCCATCCTTACTCTTATTTCTAATTAATATATCTATAAAAATAAAACAAGTATTATATAGTAAAAGTTCTGGATAGAAACTTAATGATGTACAAGTACTATTATATGGCACGTGTGAATGTTAGAGAAATCTTTGTTGACGATGTACGATAAACATTATGTTTCATCAATCACTAATCAAACATGGGTTGACAATTTTCATTTAATAGTTGAATGTCTTCTACATTACAAGCCTTTATAGTTAGAAGACTCTAAACCGAGCTATTAGGTTAAAAATGAAGAATCTTTATAATCATGAGATCAAGGCAATTCTAATAAGTCATTTGGTTGCATGGTTGTGAGTACGTGACTCCATGTGCTGAGGGTTAGTACATATTGAGTAAATAAAATTTAAAAGCTATACCTTTCAGAATTCTCAAAATTTTAACCAAATATTTTGTATCGTGTCAAAATATTAATCATTTCTATTTTATCTTTAATAATGTTGTAAATCTTCTCTTAATTAAAATACTAAAATTTTGAATATTGATTGACACGTGTCTCCTCCAACTCATCATCATGTTGTTGAGTCAATATTACTAACAAAAATGCTAATGGGGAGTTAACGTTTGGCTAATACTTTGTATTTTGGAAGGTATGTTTGATAATTTTAAAAGTTTGAAAGATTTGATTAATATATTGTATAAGATACTAAATTTGAGTGTCTTGATAGAAAAATTTTGACATAAGATCCTCTGCAGAGACTTAATGAACATTCACATAAACATGTGTCAAGATTAGATAAGTTGATCATAATAAGGGGTACGGTATGTGTCAAGTTTCACTTGGATAAACACAATTTATCGAGTAATCAAGTATCTTTATCCAATAATATGGACTCTTAATAATTGTTGAGAGTTTGTCCTCACTCGAGAATCACGAAATTTTTGATGTTTTATAAGATCAGAAATTTGAATGGCTTGGTTGACAAATTTTTGTATACTATTCTAAATGTGACGGGATAAACCTTTAAAATATGATTTATTATTAGAGAATCGAAACCTATGAATATCATAGGTGAGTGTGCTAAATATTGAGAATTTTTAATATGAACATATAGCATACTCACTTACGAAGCGTGAGCATAAAAAAGTTAGAAGATTAAAAAGATTTTATACATGTAAATAAATTAATTTATATAAATGATAAAATGAAATTTTCCGGCCAACCGGCCGGGTAAAAAACTAGTAAATGATAATGAGTTTCTAATTTGGAAGTTAAGGCTGTAGTTATTCTAATGAATAAAATCCTTATCAGTGTTATTGATTTTGGTTTCTTCATAATCTAGATTATGTGGTTGTTTGTTTAGAGGTTTTT